TGTGGAATAATAAGCAACATTGAACATTTAAAAATTTTAGAAACAGGAATAACAACCACCACAAAATCCTGATATACCTGCCCCCCCCCAAAAAAAGGAAGGGCAGATACTGTGGATCACAAGGAAACTGGATTTATGCATGGAAATTAAGTGTAGGAGAAACAATTGGAAAGGAAGAGATGGAAAAAGGGGAAGAGAAGAGAATGAAGCAAGGGAGACAAATGGAGAAAGAGAAATATGTACAGGACAGATGGATCAGAGGCGAAACAAGTACTGCTGGATGGAAATTCAGTATCATTACGACACGCTATTTCCACAGCACGCACCCCTGAAGCCCACCCCCCACCCCCAGAAGGTGAAAAGCCAGCCAATGGAACCAGAAACGAGAGGCGTATAAATCACTTAGCCAGTAGTTACAGAGATTTTATTGCACATCAAACTTCCATACATATCACGCCAGGATTAGTGTTAGCTCTCTGAAACGAAGCAGCAGTAGGAAGACCACATGGTGTGGACTGTTCTCCAATGGCTGTTTTAGCCAGCTGTAATTATCGTGCTCATCTGGAAGCCGAGTGGTGCCAGTAATAGAAACGGGTCATGGGAAGAGTGGGTTCTTGTCCGGGCATGTCATTATGTGACCTTGGCTGGCCGAGCTCTGGGTCTTGGTTTCTTTATTTGCTAAAAGTGAACAAGGATTTTTATGTCCTGATTATTTCACAGGGGCGCTGGGGAGAGGAAATCAGAAGGATATATATCCGCATGCTTCCATAAGGACGAAATGCCAGAAGAATGTGAAATTGACCTTGTTCTTCTTCACTTAACAAAGCGGTGGGTAGGTGGGGGAGGGGGTGGGGGGGTGGGTATGATGACATTGTGTGCAGAAGGCTTGGTGACTCAAAGAAGTGTCTTTTTTCTGCTCAGTAATATCTGGTCTGGGATTATTACTGCTTTCCCAGTGATTTTAGGCATACCCTTCTCTTTCAGAAATGCCAAAGGTGCAAACGCTATTCTACTGCTATGATTTCTCATCCTGGCTGCCTGAGCAAGATGCACAGAGACGGTTCAGTAATTAAGCTTTTCAACTTGCATCATAAAGTTTTATTCCGGCAAAGGCTATATTTATCAGCTAACGAATATTAAATCACCCCACTGCTCAAGCCGTTTCTCACCAGAACATGCTCCTTTCAAAACACAGCAGCTTTCTTTGGCTAGCTTGACTAATAGAAGTCCTTCCTTGGAAATACACTGGTGATGTGTGGTCTTGTGAGGTAGAAATACACCCCTGGCACTGTTTGATGCGTCGCCAACTCCCATAGTCTCAGGGGGGTAATGGTGGACATCCTACAATCTTTTACAGCATCCTTCCAGTAGCTACTAGAATATGGATTTCCTTAGCTAATTCTTTTCTAAAGGGGGAAGAGGCAAATGGAAACTCAAATGCAGTAGGGGTCTTCAGAATGATTGAAGCAGTGAAGTGACAATGATCTAGGTATTGAGGGGGTGGATGTTCACATTGTCAGCATCTACCAAAAGTCACAGAAGTAGCGGGATAACATGCTTAGAATGAATAGCTATGAAACATTTTAGTGATGGCTTGGAAGGATAATTATGTAACTAACCCATTTCTCTCTTTACAAGTTTTTCTTCCCTTATAGGACATAGGCCTGCCATTGTTCTTAAAGATTCAGGACCCTTTCTGCCCAATGACTTCAGACATATATCTGTTTAAAACAAAATAATAAAGACAACTGAGTGACTTTTTAGGTACTTTAAAGAAAAAAATAAAGACAAATATTTATCAAACATGGAGCAGTATCATGCAATAAATCATTTTCCATTATTTTATATCAGAAACTACATTTTATTTTTCCTTTTCATGCTTTCAAATGAAGTGGCACTAGCCACATGCAGGCATTTTAGTTTTTTAGTTTTGCCCATTTATTACTAAAAGGCAAGCTATCCTCATATGCCAGAGAAACTGGTCCTTATTTGTTGATAAACCAGAAAGCTCTGCCAGTGCTTGAGTAGGTATTTATGTTGCAAGAACAAGCAGGTGAATGCAATTTAAACACTGCCAAGAGACAAACTCTTTGGATAAATATTTCCTAGTTTAGGAATCTGAAACAATTATTTCTTTGCTTTCAAAATGATGAACCGGGGGCTGGAGATATAGCTCAGTGGGTAGAATACTTGCCTAGCACATGTCAAGCTTTGGGCTCTGTACATAGCACCACATGAGCAGGGCATGGTGGCTGTGGTGGTTTGAATGAGAATGGTTCCCGTAGGCTCCTATATTTGAGTGTTTAGTTCCCAGTTGATGAAACTATTTGGAAGGATTAGGAGGTGTGGCCTTGTTGGAGTGGGTGTGGCCTTGTTGGAGGAGGGATGTTACTAGCGATGGGTTTTGAGGCTTCAAAAGCCTATGTCATTTCCAGTTATCTTTGTCTACCTCATGGTTGTATCCCCGGAGGTAAGCTCTCCAGTGTGTGTCTGCCTGCTACCAAACTTCCTACCATGTTGATCATGGACTCATCCTCAGAAACTGTAAGTCCCACTAAATCCTTTCTTCAAGTTGTCTTGGTCATGGTGTTTCATTACAGCAACTGAAAAGTAACCAAGACCATAGCATACACACCTGATATTCTAATACTCAGGAGGTAGCAGTAGGGAGATCATTAATTTAAGGTCATCTTTGGTTAATAGCAAAATTGAGGACAGCCTTAAACCTGTTTCTTTTTCAATTATTTAAAGATTAAAATATAATTATCATTCCCCCCTTCCCCTTTTCTTTCTCCAATCTCTTCCATGTCCACTTCCCACTCTTAAATTCATGGCCTCTTTTTCTTTAATTATTGTTACATATATGAATAAACATCTGAATAAAATTTGCCAAGTGTGTTTAGTACTGCTTTATTATATAATTTCAGAGCTAACCACTTGGGATTTTGCTGTGGGATAATGCTCTGGTACTCTGTAAAGATTTGTCCCTTGTATTGGTTTAATAAAGTGCCGATTGGCCAGTAGCCAGGCAGGAAGTATAGGCAGGGAAACCAGACTAGGAGAATTCTGGGAAGAGGAAAGTCTCAGTTTGCAGTCACCAGGCAGATGCAGAGGAAGCAAGATGAGAATGCTGCACTGAGAAAAGGTACCAAGCCATCTGACTAAACACAGATAAGAATTCTGGGTTAATTTAAGTTGTAAGAACTAGTTAATAATAAGCCTGAGCTAATAGGCCAAATAGTTTATAATTAATATAAGCCTCTGTGTTGTTTTGGGACTGAACAAAACTTCCATCTATAGGATTTGATAACCAATTAGGAGGCTTTTCCTTGGGAAAGACTAATTTTCTCTCAGCATTCCTTCACTCCCTGTAGCTTTTTGTTCAGGGGTGGGGGTCCCATGATATTTTCCCCTTCCACCTTAACATGTCCATTGGAGTCCTTGTTCAGGTCTCTTTAGGTAGACATACTGTTGAGGTATCCTGAGCACAGCTTCCCTGTCATTTCTAGAAGACACAGTTTTACTGCACATTTCTTGGTCCTCTGGCTTTTATAATCCTTTTGCCCACTCATCCAAGATGTTCTCTGAGCTATAGGTACAAAGAGAGATTTCCTTGGTGAGTGGTAAATATAGGTTAGATGAAGTTATGATAATTAGGCTGACCATGCTACTACCAGAGCCATAGATGAACAAAAACCGCACCACCAAGCATGAGAAATCCTCCTTTTCAGTTGTTGGCCAAGAGAACCCAAGCGACATCCCCAAACAACATATGCTATCGCTGTTGCTCTTCTTGCCTCCCAGAGATTGGAGGCCCTATGGTTGTAGACACTTTGGACACAGGACACAGAGGATAAGCCTGAATCTGAGCTGAAAGCCTCTTCCCTGAGACATGTTTTCACAGTACTGGAAAGTGCTAGGCAAGCTGGCTAACAAGGGAGGGAATAAACCCATAGTCTTATTCAGCTGTGATGCCTATAACCACAACAATAACCAGCATGGCAAGTCATCCTTAAAGCAATAGTAGTATTCATATATTAGTGGTAACCAACAGCTGTCTAATAGAACTCAAAGTCTTCTCAATGAAATAAAATCATGCTGCATACTGGAAAGCCAGCCAACTACCCAGGGCTTGTGAGGTTAGAGATATTAGAGGAGAACCTACCACCACTTAATAAACTGCATCCTAAACATTTACTCTAACACATATGGATTTATTTTTTAAAACAGACTGCTATAATTTTTGCTTTCCAAATTAATAAGAAATAGCTCATTTGGAAACCTGAGGCTAAGTTTTTCTCCAGCCAGCAATCATGGGACCAAATACCGAATATATGGGTGACATGCCAAACTGCTAAGTTAGAAAATCCTGAGAGATTTAAAATGCATTTATTCTCTGATCAGCTGGGTTTTTGTTGAACGACAGGAAATTCATTAGCCGTGGCATAGTCCAAGTACTACGATGGACAGCAGCAGTCAGAGATCTTATGTTAAAGACTGATAAACTTCCTCTCAGTTCTGTTTAATTTTTATCTCACATATGAAGGCTGGAACTTGCTTTAAGGCTAAAAATACTGTGTAATTTGGCAAATGAAGATGATTCATGTCATTCTCAGCCAACCTGTAGGAAGTCCTTTTGTGGGTCAAGCTGCTCTTCGGACTGTAGTCTGGTGACATATGTGACCTACTACCTAGAGCCTTAATAACTTGGAAAGCAAATGCGAATCAAAGATTATTCCACATTTCAGAGAAATCTTGCACTTCAATAATTTGCAAAAATGTCAATTCAAGGATATGTGTGAAGTTATAACACAAGACTTGGTAATGGTTGTTCTTTATTTAGAATTGAAGTTTTCAAAAAGATAGCAAAGGTTTGGGCCCATAAATGGGAACTTTGGTTTAGTATAATTGTGGGGATGGTTATTTGTTCCTCATAAGAATTATTTTACTTTAACAAGGATCAGTCATAGAAAATCAGAGAATGCAGGGAAGGAGCAAAGTCTAAGAAATTATCATTTTATTATGGGTGGTAGCTATCAAAATTATTATATTGTTTTTATATTTCATATGAAAAATGACAGTTAAGTGGAGAAATTTTTCCAAGTAATTCCTCTCCCCACAAAAATCCAGAATAATCAGAGGTCTGTGAAAACAAAGGGCCCCAGAGTGAATGTAGAAACGAGAACATAGACACTAAATATGATTCTTTAGAGAACATAGACACTAAATATGATTCTTTAAAGCTTCCATGACACTCAGGGCAGAGGCGATGCAGCCGTCGAAGTTGGAGTGAGTAAATCCATCCCCTCCACACACCAAGGAAGGGTGGAGGTGAAGAGTCATCTGGCCGGGACAGTTGGCAGCTGAGTTTGTAACCTGAAAAAAGCAAAAAATGAAAAAAAAAAAAGATTGGAGTTGACATTCAGTGTGTCACTGCACTGTTGTGGTAATGCCCACTAAGTTTTTGCTCCCTGGAGAAAATAAAATTTTACTCATGGGGCAAAAAGAAAAAAAAAGACTATATCAAAAGTTACCTATTGCCAAAATATTTACATATATATATTCTCAAATGTTTAAAATTTTATTTACAAATAACTGGAACTTCTAGATTTGTAGATACTATGGTCTGAATGCTTACCCCCCCTCTCCAAATTCATATGTTGTTCTCCTGTGCTGCATAATTTTATGTCAACTTGACACAAGGCAAAGTTATCTGAGAGGAGGGAACCTCAATTAAGAAAGGCAAGCCTCTAGGGCATTTTCTTAGTTAGGGATTGATGGGGAAGGCCCAGGCCACTGCAGGTGTTGCCATTTCTGGGCTGGTGGTTCTGGGTTCTCTAAGAAAACAGGCTGAGGAAGCCATGAGGAGCAAGCCAGTAAGCACCACCCCTCCAGATCTCTGTATCAGCTCCTCCCTCCAGTTCCTGCCCTGACTTCCTTTGATGTTGAACAGTGATATGGAAATATAAGCCAAATAAACCCCTTTTCTCCCAACTTGCTTTCTGGTAATGATGTTTCATCACAGCAATATTAACCCTAACTACGACAGCTCTTGACCCCAATGGTGATGGTATTAGGGGAAAGGACCTTTGGGATGTGAAAGGCATGGTGTAAGGTAAGTGATCTTATGGGAGTACACAATTAAAATCCATCAACTATGAAGAAAGCAGGTCCAACACTGAACCTGTCAATGACCTGACCTTGGCCCTTCCAGACTCCAGGCACATATGCCACTGTAATTTTGCTACTGCTCTGAATCATAATGTAAATATCTGCTATGCAGGATCCCTGATATGTGACCCCTGTGAAAAAGTTGATAGACCCCCAAAGGGGTCAAGAATCACAGGTTGAGAACCAGTGCTTTAAAAGCAGAAAAGTTTTGCAGAGAACAGCTTTGTTTATACGCTACGTTTTGTCTCCCCTGCCCCTCAATACTGGAGACTGTTGATGTACAAAAGAGTTCCAAAATAGTTCAGAATGGAATATAACAAAGGTTTATTTATTAGGGGATAAACTCACAGAAATAGTAGCATTCCACAGACCTCTGCATGTGCTGGGAACTGGAACCGAATCCAGCAGCCAAGAGGCCCAAGCCATTTTGTCTGCATTTATAGTACATGAGACCATGCCCAAAGTGGGCCAGTATCTTAAAGGTTATTGTTTGAAGGAGTTCCCACAGCACCTCCCCCTTTTGTCTAAATAAAAGAGTTCTAAGTCTGATACAAAACTATATACAATTGGAACAAATATTAAGTATTGTCCAGGGAAAAGAAGAGGCAGAAACATACATTAAAATTAGAATTACAACCAGCATGAACAACATCAAACAAGAAAAATATGCTAAATGTTTCAATAGTTATCCTAAGGAGTCTTAAGTCAAGTCTTACATTAGAAATAGCTTGGCTAAGTAATGAGAGGAAAGTAACTATGACTATCTAGCCTTCAATCCCATCAAAGACCTGAGAAGGGATACAATATCACTTGAGTAAATAGGAAGTGCAATCAAGAAAATCCCAAAAGGTGTAAGAAATGACAGAGACAACCGGCTACCTGGGCAATCACCCAAAGTCTCATTTGCAATGTTTCGGCAACCAACTTTGGTTAAGGCCTAGTATCTGACAGACCATATTTAGAGGCAGGAAAATTTTCAAAACCATTTTGCCCTGTCTTGGTAAGGTTTGGCAGTCTTTTTACTTGTATCCTGCTTGTCCAGTGTGGACACTGTACATTTTGTCAGTGGTTGAGGCAGGGGCAGTTCTTTGCCCAACAGCCAGTTTTGCCAAGAAGAAAACAAGCTCCAACTGGAGTGTCCTCGTTGTTGCCAGGAACAATTATGTCACACGTCAACAGAATCCTAAACTATGTAAATAGTTCTTTGAAGTGTTTGAAGATTACCTATCCAAGTGGAATACAATCAAGAACCTGTTTAGTCTAACTATAAGTATAACAAACATGGATGACTATTAACATGTAATTCTTAATACCTATGTAGATTAAAGACTAAGGCTTCATATTGAAAATTTAAACAGTCTTTAAATAAATGTGCAGCGAATGAGGACAATGACCTCAAAATGTAAAGAATATATAAATATCTTGATTGGAGGTAGAAATGTATAGTGCAACATGATAAACGTATCCTAAATTTGCAACAATATGCAAAATATTTTAAGCATAGGTAGAAACATGAGGCATACAATATGACAAAATAACTTTGCAAAGATGCACAAATATTGTAAACAGAAATAGGAGCATATTCAATATAATTGAATATAAAATATAATTTGTATATAAAAATATAATTTGTATCAATATGCAAGAATCTATACCAATGTAATTTGTCTATAAATAATAGCTCACAAGTAATCTCACTACTACTCACTATTATTATTAGTGTTAGTAAGCTCACAATAATCTACCAATTATCCCATCCCATCCATTCCCTTTTTTTTTAAAAGAGATCCCTGAGTTTACTTCATTTCTACCCCCAACTCTATACCAGTTATAACTAACCCCTAGTAATGTTCCTAGCCGAGGACAAACTATGTTGGGAGACGGGACATCGTTTTCTAGAATTACATCCAACTGTCATGGGAGTGATGATATTTCTATGGAATCCTCTAAAAACTAAAATGATGGTTAAGTTTCAGGATTACTGTCTGGTACAATTGCAGATAGTCTCTGAATAGTTGGTAGGGTTTTTCTGAAGTTCTTATCTGAAGTTCTGGTCAGAACATTATAAGGAGGTGCACCATCTCAACTAGCCATGTTGGGATCATCTTGAGAAGTTTGTAACCCAAAACCAATCTTAAAGTGTTACTATCAGAATAATGACATTGTAACAACCAGGTTGTTGTGGAGCCCCACATTCTTCATTGAAACTTCAAAGACTACTGCAGGAAAATTTATTGTTCATTGTGGATAAGTTAAACATTATTCATATAGACATATATTCAATGAAAGATACCATAAAGACAAAAATTGGTATGAGAGAAGTTAAATTTTGTGAAAGCAAAGATTTGAAAAAAGTCCCTCAATTTTATCTTCCTTCTGTCCCATACCAGGTGGCTTCTGAGACGAGACAGAAACTCTGACTTTTTCTTTCAACAACATGCTCGGATTTAGAGAAGGATAGCCACTGTCCAACTTCAAAGCCAGTTTTAATTTTTAAGTGAGTCGCAACTATCATTATACTGAGAAGTAGGGAGATATGTATGTTTAGGTAGTGAAATTTTACCCTGCAGAGGATATTGTTACCATAAGTTAGATCTCTTTGCTTGGTGATTCTTTGTGGATAGCTATCTTTCTTATTTAAGCATCTAGATGTCCAAGGTCTCTTGACTTTTCGAAGATGGGTATTTTCCTGCAAAGACAAGAACAGAACCTTGCCCCAACTCTTATGACGTTTCCTTACAACCTGTAGGATTGTCACCTCTGTGGATGAGCTGTGACTTCTTTTTATCAAGCAGTTTCTCCTTTTCAAACCAAATCTTTATTAATTTTGATGGTATCCATAGCATTTCTTCTCCTGTGGAGGCTACTGGCTTGAGTTCGGGCTTGGCATTCATGTATCTGAACTGGGAACGCAAGCCTGTGTCCCCTGTATAGGGTTAGAGCCTTTGCTCCCAGAGTCAGAGCTCAGCCTGATCAGAGTAGGCCTGGGAGAAGCCAGAGAAGCCACAGAGCAGTTGCAGCAGAAAGCAGTGGGTGGCAGTAGGCGAGACCAAGTCGGTTAGCATGGACCATGGTGGGAAATTGCTAAGTTGCTGTGGCAGGCCCATGGAGCCAAACCATACTCAGCTGTGTGCTAGAGGGGTAGTTCAGCTGCAGAGAGGTAGGTCAATTGCACGGGGTGAGAGAATGCCACAGACAGGGGTCTGGGCAGGGCCCGGCAATGGTGTGGACTTGGACCCCACATTAGATTCCAATTTGCTGGTGTACAAAAGAGTTTCAAATAGCCTGGAATGGAGTATAACAAAGGTTTATTTATTAGGGGATAAATTCACAGAAAGGGTAGCCATCTGCAGTCCTCTGTGTGTACCCAGCAGCCAAGAGGCCTGTACATGCTTTTCATCTGCATTTATAGTACATAAGACCACACCCAATGTAGGCTGATTATCTTAAAGGCTATTGGCTGAAAGAGTTCCCACAGCAGAAGATTGAGCCCACAGGCTTCAGCAGGCAGGGCTAACAAGAAAGCTGTTCCTAGCCCTTCTATTTTGCTTAAGCAAATAAAGATCTTGAGACACCTGTGTTTTATATATATAAGCAAGGGAATCTTAGCTTGCACAGAAACAGGACATATGACAAAGAGAACAATGGCAGGACCTGAGACAGTAAGCCTAGGGGTGGGGGAACTCTCTGCTATGATGGCTCTCCATTATGGGGAAGACTTGAGAGTTTTCATTTTATTCTGCAGGTGGATTTAAATCACTTAGAAAAAAAAAACCTTTGCCTTTTCTGAGAATTTATGCATCTAACCCATCTACATTTCTAGGAGTATTACATTAGTCACCCAGACCAGGAAAGAGTTCTTTCTGTACAGCCGTGTCACACATGTGAGCCAGAGAAACCTGACTTTCCATAGGGCTGTTTCAGCCCTGACACAGACTTTAAATACAACTATTGAGATGTGGTTCCTGGCTGTGGCTGGAAGCAGAGCCAAGGGCTGTATTATTGCGAGAGAGTGTGGTTTCAACAATGACAAGATCCTCTCTTGCAGGACTCTCTGCCTCACATGGCTGAAGACACTTGCCAAAACACACTCCATGCTTTCATATTTTCCTCACTGGGTAATTGCAAAACGGGCGATTCCACCTTCAATGTGATGGGATTGATTTCCTCTAAACTGCTGGCTGCCGAATGAGTGGCCCACTTTC